ATTGACTCTAACAACCAAGGTGTGTAAGAAGCAACTTTGTAAACAAGAATAAGTGTGTGCTGTTCTCCATCATTGACTCTAACAACCAAGGTGTGTAAGAAGCAACTTTGTAAACAAGAATAAGTGTGTGCTGTTCTCCATCATTGACTCTCTAATAACCAAGGTGTGTAAGACGTAACTTTGTAAACAAGACCAACTAGCATGAACTTCTTGCATTTTTTTGTGTTTCTTTAATATCAAAATGAAAAAGTTTGTTTGAACTCACGGACGAGGTTTTAACTGGATTTGTTTTAGAGAACAATGTGTTTTGACTTCCTTGGCCAGCATTAGTTTTTCATTTCATTTTTTAGATTGCTTGTTGTAATAGTATAGATTTCTTGGTTTACTGTTCTCGTTGATTTATGTAACAGTACTATTCAATACAACAGATCTGTATTGTGCTTGTAATTTGAAGCTTTTTGGCTGCAGGAGTATCATTTAGACAGGGCAGTGGGCAGTTGCTTAACATCACTTGTTTATTTTATGTATAAAAGAAATGTTGTTTATGCTCCTCCTTATACCTCTGCAACCCCCTCCCACTTAATTCTGAAAGAGTGTCAATGCCTGGTTATCCATCCCAGTCATTATTCTATTCCCATGGTGGAATGGTTGAGTCATTCCTTAGGTGGTTGTCCATCCCAATCTACATTATTCTATTCCAATAGTGGAATGGTTGAGTCATTCCTTAGATGGTTGTCCATCCCAGTCAACATTATTCTATTCCCATAGTGGAATGGTTGAGTCATTCCTTAGATGGCTGTCCATCCCAGTCAAAATTATTCTATTCCCATGGTGGAATGGTTGAGTCATTCCTTAGATGGCTGTCCATCCCAGTCAACATTATTCTATTCCCATGGTGGAATGGTTGAATCATTCCTTAGATGGTTGTCCATCCCAGTCAACATTATTCTATTCCCATGGTGGAATGGTTGAATCATTCCTTAGATGGTTGTCCATCCCAGTCAACATTATTCTATTCCCATGGTGGAATGGTTGGGTCATTCCTTAGCTGGTTGTCCGTCCTAGTCAACATTATTCTATTCCCATGGTGGAATGGTTGAGTCATTCCTTAGATGGTTGTCCATCCCAGTCAATATTATTCTATTCCCATGGTGGAATGGTTGAGTCATTCCTTAGATGGTTGTCCATCCCAGTCAACATTATTCTATTCCCATGGTGGAATGGTTGAGTCATTCCTTAGATGGTTGTCCATCCCAGTCAACATTATTCTATTCCCATGGTGGAATCATTCCTTAACTTGGTGACAAGACATGTTTTAAACATCCGTAGTCTTGTTTCATGACAGGTAGGATTGATGACAGTAGATATGATGAGGTGGTCATGTTTTCATTTACAATAATACAGTGACATAGTGGTTAGCATGCTTGGGCTGGTAATCTGAAAGTTTGTGGTTCATGTCCTGTTGCTGCCAAAAAAAATGCTCCTTTCTTTGGTTGTGGGTGCTTTATAAGAGTTACAGTTAAATCAATTAAAAGAGCCTAAGAGTTAACAGTGGGTGGTATTTACTAGCTACCTTCCCTCTAGTCTATCAGTTCAAAATTATAGACAGCTAATCACAGATAGAACTCTTCAGGTAACTTCGAACCCAACTTAGGAAACAAATAATCGGTAAGATAAAAGACAGTTTTTTTATTTGATAAGTATTCTAACTGTATGTAACTGATTCACTGATTTTTTATTTATTTATTTTATCCACTAATCAGCAGAGGCTGACTCATGCTGTGAATGTCCATTTTTTACCTTATATCCCAAATATCATATTCATTTTTAAATGCTATTTTAAAGATTTTTTTTGTTTTTTTTTACGACGAGAAAGGTTTCATTAAATTCATGCATTTTAGATTAACACTTTTAAATAGACTGTTTTTAATTTTGGAACTAAGAAAGCCGTTGAGTAAAGAAAAGCTGTGTTGGAGAAACTTATCAAATGAGCAAATCCAATATTATCCCAATTTTCATGCCTTTTTTTTTGTTTCTAAATTTTTGCTTTTATTTTTTTTTCAGTAATGCTAAGTTTCATATTTCGATTGAGTTGGCTCACCTGACTCTAGTTACTCAGTTTACTTGTGTGAAGTTTTTTTTCTGTTTGATTATAACACATAAAAAAAGTAAACCTTTTTTTTTGTTTAAAATTCTTCCTTATCTATAGAGTGCAGCCGTTCCAACAGGCTTGAGAGATCTTCTTCGGGATCTAACATCAGAAGTACAGATTGGGATACAGCAGTAGATAGGTGTCAACTCAAAACTTCATCTAACCAAAGCATTAAGACACCTGGTGGCAGAAGACGTTCAAAATCTCAGAATGCTAGACCTGATCATCACTCTCAGGTGATTATTGAATTATTTTTACATCTGAAAGTTAATCACTGTATTATTGTAAATCTTTTAAATTATGAAAAAAAATAGTGTTGAACTTTGTCACCACAGGAAGAGAAGTAAATTAATATTTCAGTTATTAATAATATATCTTCAAGTAACAGCCTTTAATATATCTTCAAGTAACAGCCTTTAATATATCTTCAAGTAACAGCCTTTAATATATCTTCAAGTAACAGCCTTTAATATATCTTCAAGTAACAGCCTTTAATATATCTTCAAGTAACAGCCTTTAATATATCTTCAAGTAACAGCCTTTAATATATCTTCAAGTAACAGCCTTTAGTATATCTTCAAGTAACAGCCTTCAATATATCTTCAAGTAACAGCCTTTAATATATCTTCAAGTAACAGCCTTCAATATATCTTCAAGTAACGGCCTTTAATATATCTTCAAGTAACAGCAGTTAATGTACTTTAGTGATAAGTATTTAGAGACAGATAACCTACTTTTTATTTACCACAGAAAAGCTACAAAGAAATGTGTTAGTTGATTGGGGGAGTGGGTGGCCAAGTGGCTTGCATACCCGTACTGTCAATCTTAGAATTCATAGTTTGAGCCCTGTTGCCACAAAATTTTGCTACACACTTTGGAGTCGTGGGTGTGTTATAAGATTGATGGTCAAATCCCACTATTTGATCGGACAAGAGCACCCCAAGAGTTGGTGTTGATTAGGTACCTTCCGGCTAGTCTGTCAGTTCAAAATTAGTGACAACTAAGAATAGATATCCCACTTAACACAACTTAAACAAACTTTGGTTAAACATCACTTTTTGCCAAAATTCCTCTACAAACTTAAATATGTAAATTTTAAGAATTATAAGACTTTTTTTTTTTTTTTTTAGGTAGACATTTTTGTTGTTTTTTTAAATTATTTTTTATGTGCCATATGACAGATAATTAGACAACTTTAACAGAATACAAAAACAACTATAATTCAGGTTAAGGTTTTGGGTTTGATTTCCAAAATATTCCAGTTGTCGTGCCTGCATCGAAGAAGAAATATACACAATTTCTGTGTTGTTATTAATATTCATAATGATGAGAGTACTGAACTAATGAATCAGTGCATCTTGGACATTATAAGGATGGTATATTAACTTAGCTATGTTAATCACTGGGTTAATTTGATATATATATATAGGCAGCTAGCATTCATTACAAGTTAGTGACTACTGCCTAAGAATGGTATTATTACATTAACAAAATAATCTTATAGTTACAATTACAAACTGATGCTATTTTTTGTTTGTATCTCTTCCAGGTTCGAGGCGACCCGGATGGGTGTGGTCTGGACACTTTTTCTCATCTTTACCACACTGCTGATACGGAGCTTAGTTCTGAGGTGATATTTGATAAGATTTACTGTTGTATTCATCCACTGATTTAACAATAGGAACAAAAATAACAGTCATGGTATGATGTTGGTGAGATGGATCCACATAAAATAACGTCAAAAAATAATTTGCTTTAATCTTATTCATTTATGTGAAACTTGCGACCAAATTCACCATTCATATACGTTGTGTGTGAAAATAACAAGGTTGTCAGTATATGATAAAGTGACAAAATTCACACTTCACATACATTGTGTGTGAAAATAACAAGGTTGTCAGTATATGATGAACTGACAAAATTCACACTTCACATACATTGTGTGTGAAAATAACAAGGTTGTCAGTATATGATGAACTGACAAAATTCACACTTCACATACATTGTGTGTGAAAATAACAAGGTTGTCAGTATATGATGAATTGACAAAATT